TATATTGCTCCTTAAAGATTAACGATCTGCAATGATAATAAATATCACATAAAATCTTATACATTAACATAAGAAGAACCATGCTAATATAGCAAGATATTAAAAGCAAAATTAGATAATGATCTAATTTGTATGCTGTGTGGGTAAAAGGGATCAACTGCAGATTCCTTCATAAAGGAACTCGGCTACGGACAATTTTAGGAGATTGTTGACAACTTTGGTATGGAAGATAACTATTTAACTTTTTTGAGGGGATTGTTGGAAGGCGTGCATCTGCCAGAGGTCTTATTGTTGGAACCCACAGATTAGTTCTAAAGATGGAAATTCAAAATTTATTTTTAAAAACTAGCTGTGGATGATTGATTAGGTCATTCTGAGATCAATCTCGATGCTATCTTGTATCGAATACCTCGTGGAGTAAAAGAGAATTATTTTTTTCCCATGTGTTCTCCACATAAATGATGTTGGTATTTCTATTAACACTCCTTAGACTATTCTTTTTTTCTATTTGTTGTAATAATGCGACACTCTAGATTTTTCTTATCCAACAAATATTATTTTCAAGTCAAAAACAAAAAAAAAAAAAAAAAACAATGGTAGAAGCCAAAGCATGTGTTATTTTGAAATGCCTTTAAGCTTGCAGATATCATATTATATTTTACGAGGATTCTAAAACATAAATTAGTTTACTTATTCCATTGGATATAACTTTGAATGAGTTTCACAACCTAGTTTTATCAAGTTAAACATCTGGACTTGGTTTGCAAGTTAAAAAAAAATGAGCTAGTGGCCTTCAACTTTTTTATTAAAAGTGGTAATTGTGGGTTCTTGGGCGGTTTTATTGCATGTAGCTTATCTTTATATTTTTTAGAATCTGTTTTTTTGTGAAATCATGACTATAAATAAAAATTTGTCTGATTGGGGTCTTCAATATTGTGCTAATTTTTTTTACGATGATGGGGGTGCCATCTCCTGCTTTGCTTCTTGCTTGAAAAATTAACAACTAGTAACATACACTGCTCTAAAGATTAGAACCTGTTACGTTTTGAGCCTATAATTATTCTAATTGCAGGTTTAACTACTTATTTCTTTTATTTTATAGTCGGTGCTTTCTGCCTAAATTTATAAGTTCTATCAATGTTTTTACTACTCAGCCTAGTATCTTCGAGTTGTTAATTTAGACTTTATTCATTCACGATTAATCCGAAAAAAAAAGAGAAAGAAAAATATCATCATGCGAAAGGATTTGAAGTCATTATTTTTACCTACGTTTGCTTGAATTTTTCCACTAATGGCCTTGTAACTTAATGGGTTTTAGCAGTGATCTTCTTGTGTTATGGCAAAGTAATCAAAGCTTTTCTTTTTTATTTATAGTCATCTAAAAATATTTATTTGACTTATGAACTTCTATAGCATTCCTTGTTTCTACAAATATTGTTGGACCTAGTTGTAAAACTTACAACATGAAATAAATTTATTACAAAATAGAGATTATGAGGCAGAAACTCCCAAAATAGCAATCTTTAACCAATCAATGCATTCCATTTCACCATAGACAACCCTTTACCAGTTTTCTCATACATTTCTTTTTGGCTTTCAGAAAGCTCATGTTCAGCAGTTTGTGGCTACTGAAGACGCACTAAACAAGGCAGCAGAGGCCAAAAGCTTAATTCAAAAGCTTATAAAGCGCATGCATGGAAATGGTGATTTAGTGGCCTCACAAACTATGCCTGCTGGAGGAACCTCCCAGAATCTAAGCAATGCCAGGAATTTTGAGGTTATACGAATGCAAACTTCTTATAATTGTTCATGCCAAAAAAAAAAGAGCTAAGAAAAATCCCATGAAATGGATTTTATAGATATAAAAGGCCTTTCATTGCCTTCAATGCCAGGAATTTTGACATGTATGTATGCAATATATAGCTTTTATTACCATTTCTATTATAATGCTCAAAACTGCCAACCTTTAAATGTTCCCACTGCTGCAATTGTCTGATAAGAGTTATACGAGTGTTTTCTCTAATTCCTAATTGTTTTACATAATCTATCTTTCTTATTCTCTCTTTCTCTCTTTGCATTTCAAGGTAGATGATTTATTCTAAATTTCTAATAATTATTCAGTTAGTTATAATTGAAATGATTTTGCAATTCTTCTAGAAGTGTAGATAAGTAATGTTTTTGTTCAAGTTGTTTGGAAACATAAATCCTATTTCTTTTTAGTGGTAAGCACATTTGTGCTGAAAAATATTCTTCTTTTGAGTTGACAACGTATAGAACGGGATTAAGTATTATTTTTTATACACTCTGAAATATATTCTTTTCATAGGAATACCTTTTATGCTTGGAAAATTAATTATCAACCATATATTCTAGGCAGTTGACCCGAGAAGCATTCTAAGGGTAATAAATGGAGTACTATAATCTTCTGCTGCCATACACCGCAAAAGGGAAACAAGTTTTTTGATCAATGTCACCTAACAAAAACACAAATGGACATGTAAACTAGCTATGAATATTCGGAAGTCTTGAGAAACTACAAGACAGGTCAATAACGTTCTTGAAGGCGGTAGAAAATACTATCAAACATCTAGAATTCTCAAGGACAATCAGGGCATCAATCTGTTAGTTAATTAATTTTGTCCCAAACCTCAAATGCTACAATTGCTAGGCTTTAGCCATAATAACAATATAGTGTAAAAGTGAAAAAAAAAACAGCAAACTGAAATAGAACACAACAACCCACTTTTAGAAACAAGCAAGGAAACAAGTACAATGCTGATACAAAAACTGTACAACTCTAAATCAGTGCACCCAATAAAATAAATGGTAGAAAACCCATCAAGAAGTAAGCATTTTAGAAACAACGAGGTGCGGCCAAAACCGTAAGATAACAAAATATAAAAAAATTATTATTTGTAATATATGGCAAAGGCCAAAATCATGGAAATGCACCAAGCAATGCCATTTAATGTCACAATTATATAAATAGGTAGACAAGAAACATCATCCACAATCAATTGGAAAGAAACTATCTAGCTACAACTCTACAAGCATATGATCAAAGTATCTAATGCAACAAATACATATTTTGAATCAATCAACCCAACAAAAACCAAATATAAAAATTTGTTATTAAGCTATGACCAATAATGCTCTAGATGCAATAACCAAAACCTAAAGTAAACAGAATTCTCAGGTAAATTAGGTAATCAGCCTGCCAGCTAATTAATTTTGTTTCAAATTCACCTTGCCACAACTGCTTAGCATTAAACAGGAGGTGCATACTCAACTCCAAAAAAACGTGATAAAACATTATGCACAAAAAAACAACCCACTTTAGGAAACGGAAATAAAAGAAGTACAAAGCTGATGTAGAAGATAGCACAGCTCTAAATAATTGCATCCAACAAAATAAACAGTTCAAAAACCTCCAAAAAGTATGCATTTAAGGACCAACAAGATAACAACATAATGAAAGTCAATCATTTGAAACAAATGAAATAGGCATAAAAGTATGGAAAAACACTAGCCAAAGCCTTTTAACTTCACCATTAAATGAATAGGTTGACTAGACTACAGACACCAGCCGCAATCAACCAGAATGAAACTAGCTAGCTACAGGGAAATGAGCAAAGTATTTAATAGAATCAATATAAAGGACTAGTGAAATCATAACACAATAAGACAAAAAAAAAAGAAAAAAGAAAATCAACCCAACAAGATGTAAAAAACATGTTCACGGATGAGGGTAGAACCCCACAAGATGTAAAAAACATGTTCACGGATGAGGGTAGTGAAACCTGTCCAATGTTACAATGCCCCTTGAAATACCAATCAGATGAAGTCCCTAAAAAATTCAGCTATATTTACATTTAAATCAAAAAATTCATCAACTTGATTAGCTTCATGGTAGTTATGCATAAATTTACGAGTGGGATTTTTTATACATACCATAAAATTCTTATTCATTTACTTATCTAACTTTTAAAATTTAATATTTACTTATATAACACTCAATTTTTTACCATTTCATAGAATATTACTAATGTTAATTTTTTAAAGTGAAGCATATTTTTTCTTGCATATGTTTGGATGTGGCTAAAGTTATATAAGTGAATATTAAAGTTTAGTTTTATAATACTAAAATTTTATTGAAGTACATATCATACCAAACATTATTTTTCCTTTCCATCCTCCCAATTGATGCAATTCTCAATTTCATTTTTATCACATAGAGTCAATCCCAAATTGGCTAATCAATTATATTTTTTTTAACCATACTCAAATTTTTAAAGTAGCAGTATTTAACATGGACTAAATTTTTACGACAACTTAAGTGACATGTCAAAAAATGGATTTAATGCTAATTTTTTTATGACTCCAAATAAGCAATATTCGGGCGACGAGGAGGTTCCACCACCCGTTCATAGGCAAGCTGAAAACACATCACTTTCAAAAGGAAATGATACAACACTTTGAATAGTATAAAATAGAGGATAACATTTTCCAAACACAATAACAAAAGTTTATCAAAATAGAAAAAAAACTCTCTTCTGCAGAAATAGACTTAATTGGAAATAACGGAATAGGAAAAATCTCAAAAACGTGAAGTTGGGAATGGGATGTATTTTTATGAAAATCATGACTCCGGATTGCGGGCTTTGTGAACCTAAATCTTGAAATCCCACAATTTTCAATGACGTGTTTTGATTCCGCATAAACTTTTTTGGGACGATATTCAATATGAATTTGCCAATATCACACCATGGGATCGATTTTGCAATGGTTGGATTCCCGATCCTGCCATTGTGATACCACGAGATGCATATTCACGGATAGGAGAGGTTTTGCGGTATTCTCTCCAGATTTTTGGAATCAATATGCCACCATAACCAAGTCATTGCATTGCTTTAGCTAGGGGAGCCCCACTACAAAGTATATCTCACATCCATTCAAGACAACTCTTAAACATGTACGTCCTTTCAAAGTCAGTTTTGATAGAATAAATAACCTTTCTTTGGCACAATTAGTGTTGAAGCTGCATCACTGATAATACTCTCACAAACCTTGAACATATAAATCGTAATATGCTTCTTCCACTCATTGTTTTCGACGTGACACATTTGATAAACAAGCCTATTTGGAAGAACCAACTCTGGAATGAAATTTACTAAACCACTCTTAGTGTCAACCACTCAGTAGATAAACTCTCGGTTAAAATATTCGGTAACTCTTGCAACAGGGGCTACTTTTTTTTTATATTTGCTTCTCGTAGTCACTATCTTCTAGGGCAATCAATTTTAATCATGTTGCACTATCTCTCTTAGACTCAATTTAAATCACTAGCATCTCTCTCTTGTCGACTGAAATTTGAGACTCATCTTTAACATATTCTCTCTCATGTGTCACTATTTATCTCTTCAACTATTCCGTGCTTAGTAAAAGAGATCACTCTCATGTTTGGTCAATCAGACATCACATGACCAAAATCATAACACCTGAAGCATTTAATGGCATGTATGGATTTAGAATTGCTGGTGGGCTCCACTTTATCTCTACTCTGGATTGGTTTTTTCTTAAGCGGGGTTAGTTTGGATGCTCCGCTAGGTGTAATTTGGCTGTCCAATCCGATGACTGAACTCTATTTAAAGTGTGGTGTAGAATTGATACTATTGTGTTGTCTCTCCAAGTTTAAGACTAGGGTCTAGACATTTTGTAATCTTCAATAATGCTGCAATTGTACCACATCGTCTTTGGACGATCTTAATTCCCCCATATATCGATCTATGGTTTTCTCCTCGGGCTTCACTAACCCACACTTCAACATAAGTTGTTCCAACTCAATAACATACTCTTCTATTGAGAGATATTTCTATTGTAAGTGGTGAAGTTTTAAGAACACATTTTGGGTGTGTTTGGCTGCAAGGACTAAGTTAGATAGGATTTATTAAATTTGATAAATCTGAATTTATTAAATCTAAATATCATTATATTCAAAATAACGTTTTGTTCAATTAAAGTTAAATTTAGTTAAATCAATTTGAGATGTTTGGCATAAATCTATTTAAAATACTTTTTTCTTGTGCTAGATTCGTTAAATCAAATTAATAAGTTGTTTAGTAAATCCAAATTTAATAAATGAAACAAAAAAAAAAAGATTTAACTTAAGGACAAATTTATCTAACGTACTTATGTCGGCACTAAAAAGTAAGAAATGAGATTGTTTGGGGGGTCGCCCGTAAGAAGCTGTCGGCAGCCGGAATTGAAATCTCATCGCCCGCTTCGGAATGATGTTTTAATTTACGTATATATATATATATATATAATTTTAGAAAAATATGAAATCAAACTGACCTCATATTTTTCACAATTTAAATGAAAGAGCGCTCTACCTCAAATTCTGTATCTCTTGGGGAACGCCTTTGTACCAATAAATTTGATCCATTGTTTGGAGCTACACGATAAACTTTTTCGGACCCATACGACCGTCAAGATCCGGTAAATCCACCTTTACTCCAAAATTTTGGCTTTTCTAATATTTCATGCTAAATTGTCAGGGTATTTTTATTTTTCATCATCAAAAACTTTTCCTGTTGATGAGATTCAATCTCTACTCTCGATTTAATGAGTCTTTGTTGTGGTGATGGGTGACCTCACCTGATTGTCTCTTCTCAAAGTAGGCAAACTTTTGTTACAGTTGAAAGATTTCTTATTGCAATCCTCCATAGTAAACTCTTGGAATTTTTTTTTTGCAGATTTATTCTAGGCGATTTTGTG